CACAGTAAATCTATAGTGATTAGGGATGAGACCAGCATGTGGCCTGGGAAAAATACTCTATTTTTATACAGAAAAGAGTGTGGGAAAGGAAAACAGAAAAGGTAGTTAATGGAATTGACATGGTTATAGTTGTATGTTGTGGTCTAAATGTGCTCTTAGTTTTCTTTCTTTCTGCTTGTTCCAGTAACTATAAAGCTAGATCCTCCTGGCTGTTTTAGTAAATGTGGGGATTTTCTTTTACTAGTAAGTAGACAATACCATTTGTTAACCTTCCCTGCGAAATTACTGAACATTGCTTCTCCCCACTTCCCATCTAATTTATTATCTGTATGTAGGTTTCGCCTTAGTTGCCTACCAGCCATTGAATTGAACAAAAGTTTAATTGCTTCCATGCAGTCCTAAGCCAATCAGAGTAAAGCTGAAGTCTAAGCTAATTGAAACCAAAATTCCACTTAAAAACTACTCCGACTCCGGGTGGTAGTGCAGTAGGAAGTTGTTACAAAAGGTGTTTATTTCAGAGGCTAATTTGAGGCAGTTAGACCCAAAGCAATGTTTTATTTGCCTCGGTTTCTTGGCATCTGCCTTCCCATCAGAAGAGAGAGCAGAAGGACCCATGCTTAGAGAAGTGTGATACTGATCGTAGTTGCTAAGGGCAGGTTTTGATGGAAGCCGAGTTAAGATCCCTTAGAGGAAAGAGAACATCTTTTAACCTGTCCTTCACAGCTGCCTCTGGAGTTGTTTTCCTCTTTTAAAACTCTCCCGTTTAAAGCCCTGGCATTAGTTCTGTTTCAGCTTAGCACTCTAGGCCCAAAAGTTTTAACCAGTATCCTCTAAAAGTCAGTCTTCAGGAGCTTCCATTCTCTATAAAAGTCTAATTAAGCTCCACGACAATTTTATGAAACAAATATTGTTGGCCCTGTTTTTTAGAGAAGGCACCAACTGGTTATGCAACAAGCTCAAGGTATTATATGGTGAGAACCGGCTCAGTCCAGGCCTGTGGTTCCAAATACAAAGAGCAGATTACACAGCCTAGCCTAGTGGACATCAGTCGATATTTATTGAATGAAGGAATAGCACATGTAGGAATGTAATAAATATAGTTCTTTCTCCCTTTTCCCTTTTTCCCTAACCTTGTCCTTTTCTCCTTGGCTTGGGTCCTTCTTTTCCTTTCTATTTTTGATAATACCTTACCAGGGTAACTTGTTAAAGATTACTTAATTTTAAAAGTTGGAAAATTATTTGACTAACCCAAGCAAGGAAGGAATTTGCACATGTCCTTACAGTAAAGCCGGGTCTGTCACCCAGGTCTTCTGACCACACACAGCATGTGTCAGTCTTTCCATTCACTAGGTAATTATTTTGAAGACATTGACGTGTGTGTATTTACTGCCGACTCTCCAGTCAGAGGCTTAGTAAAACTTTTAAAAGTAGTGAGCAGTATGCTCAAGGTCTTTCTCTTTGATTCAGAGTAACTCATTTTTTCATCTTTTTCTGATTCCCATTCTAATTAGTTAAATAATAAGTTATTATTGAGTATCAGTTTTAAGCCAGCCTAGCCTAGTGGTAGATGCTATGATGAAAGTGAGTATATGTGTATTAATAATAATAGTAAATATTGTATAGCAAGCACTTACATGTACCAGATATTGCTTGGGACACTATTTATCTTATTTAAGATGTGCAAGACAAGTAACCATCCATATTTTACAAATAAACAAAATGACCTCTAAGAAGTGAAGTGATCCACACAGGTTTCAGGAAATAAATTTCTAAGGGGAGAGGTAGACTTGAGAGATTATATGGTATATTCAATCAAATGAAGAGTTTTAAGGCTTTGTGGGTGTTTGGGAAATATGTAGCAATAGGTACGCAGAAAAATCCAACAAGTGGAGAAAAAAATGGCAGTTATCACTACCAGAAAAACAAATAAAAAAGTACAAGAAAGGAATAGTACATTACATGGCTCAGTCATAAGCAGTGTTTGTGTAAGTAAGTATGATGAAGTGAACACTAAATACGGATTTAATGAAAGATGAGTTTTTATTGAATATATTGAGAGGATGAGGAAGGGAAGTATTGTGGGAGGGTAGAGTATCAAATTCTCATAAATAAAAAATCAGCAGATAATGAATGGAAGAAAGGATAAAATGTGTGAGAGAAGAGTGGTGTAAGAAAGCTTAAATTCTCATCTTTTATGGTAGAAACACAGTAGATGAAACCTAAAGTGGATGGAATAAAAATATTAACATGAACATATTATCTAGAAAGATGAAAGGAAAACACAAACCATATATTTAGACTTCTTAAACAGTCCATGTACTTTATTAATAAAAATTAAATTTATATTAGGTGTTCATTTCTTTTAGCTCTCTATGTGGGAAACTAAAAAGATGAAATGGTAGAAAGAATTTGGAGCTGTGATTAAGAAGTTGTAGCCTTGGCTTTGGCCCTCATCAGTTCTGTGATTTTGGTCGGGACATGTGCCTTAAGCCTTTGTTTCTTCTTTTATAGAAGGACAGAGTTTGGAAAGATGATCTCCAAGGTTTCTTTAAGCTATATAATCCTAATAGACTATGATAAAAGATAGTGCTCTACAGTAATTAAAGAGTTAAGACCTGGGTGGAGATTTGAAGTTCTTACATTTTCCCTTTTTGGTTGAAATCAGACTTGGAGAGACAGTTTCACTGTGGTCTCTGAAAAGAATTCAACACCCACCTTCTATTGTGGAGCCTAAGGCAGGCAATTGACTGTGTACTGGCTCAGAGACACATAGCTTGGTGTTATTTCGGTATGGGGGTTTTTTATATTTAATATTTTTCAGTATGAATCACAGGTGAAATTTTCATGCCATATGTAAACAATTTCACTTTTTTATTGAAACAATGAATTCAGGAATGTCATATTGGGATATCAGCCATTTTGCTTTTATCAATGTATGAAAAAATGCCTTTATATTAATGTAAGAAATGATGTCATTTAACATGGGATAGATCTTATAATTCAAGGTCAGCAAATCTCAGGAGGTGATTTAGGTCACCAAGCCTAGGTTTGAAAAAGAAAAAGAATATTTTCCCTCTGTCTTCTCAAGTACCGTTAGCAATTTTCTTCTCAGACTTTTGGGTGGTGGTGGAATAGCATGGATTTTGAACAGGAGCCCTAGCTAATTGTTATCTGTGGCCCTAGAGAATTTGCTTCCCCTTTCCGGGCTTTAGTTTCCCCTTCTGCAAATGGAAAAGATTGGCTTCAATAATATTCAAGCTACCTTTTAATTTTAACATTGTATGTTTCTTCCCCCTTGCTTTGTGCTGAGAGCCACGGCTGAGTCTGTACGGCCCCTGGCATTTTGCCAACAGTATTGATTGACAGGCGAGGCATTACTATCCGCCTCTGCCGCAACTTTTGAGTTCTCGCACTATTTTGGAGTTCTCGTGGGGATTTCCGGGGATTCCCCGAGAGTTCCCATTGGTTGGGGAAGTGCAGGAGGAGGGATTTCCGGGAGAGATATTTCCGGCTGGGGGTTCCTGGACAAGCCTCCTGGCGTTCGGGAGGATTCCCCGGGAGCTGTGTGAAGTGTTTTCCTGCAGTTTAAAAATAAAGTTTGTTCCTGCTTCAGTGGCTCCTGATTTGTGCCCAGCCAGACTGCGGCAGCTTTGTGTGTGTATTCATTCAGCCCACTCTGGAGACCCCATTATGTTTTGGAGTTTTCCTTAAAAAGCTTAGTATCAGTGAGAGTGAACTCTTCCTGTTAAGTGTCACACATACCCAGAGAAGAATTAACTGAATACTAGATGCAAGCAATAGAAAAATTACTCTGGGCATGGTGGCCCATGCCTATAATCCCAGCAATTCAGGAGGATTGTGAGTTCAAAGCCAGCCTCAGCAATATGGTGAGGCCCTAAGCAGTTGAGTGAGACCCTGTCTCAAAATGAAACATAAAAAGGGTTGGGGATGAGGCTCAGCGGTTAAGCACCCCCGGGTTCAGTACCTCCGCTGCCCCCCAAAAAAGTTACTCTTGTTGGTAATGGTTTTATTTTTATTATTTTTTATTGGATCATTATAATTGTACATAATAGTGGGATTTGTTGTTACAATGGTTTTATTTTTTAAGAGAAGAAAAATTTACTTAGCCATACTTAAAGTACTGAAGAAATAAAACCTTAAGACCAATTCCTCTTCACATTTGTCTTATCAGTATACAGTTTCTAAAGTTTATGAACTGTCTTCATATATGTCATTTGACTAAAACATTTTTGAAAGGGTGTGTTGTCCACTTTCTGTGTACCTGAGATGCAGATGAACGTGTGAATATGCACATCTGTATGGTCAATTAAGGAACCAAATGATAGTATTTGGAGGAGGCTGTGGAAACATTTAGTAGTACAAAGAATACTTAATTTTAGAAACTGTCTCTGTTAGAAATAAGTCCAACAAAGGGCAAATCTAGCCCACAAGCCAGTGGTTTCCTCAGACTAGCCCTCCAGCTCTGTGCTCTGGTTCTGGACAAAAAGGAGGGGTGGAGACTGAAGAGAAATATAAAGCACAGCCCCTGTCAAAGTGACTTGCTGATTGTTTGTTTAATGAACATTGAGCGTGCACCAGCAGTGTGCCAGCCACTTGAATTAGAGATGAATACAAGATGATCCCTACCCTTGTTTATATAGAAGGAAGAGTTACTCAAAAGGAAAACTGCCAGTATCTACGATGAAATACTGGCTTCATGGTATGAGTTCTTGGAATTGGTGTTAGCAAACCCTACCCAGGTCGGAAGTAGAAGAGAAGGCTAGATACAGCAGTCTTAAATATCCTGATTTCCTAGCTGGCCACTTAGTCTTCTCCAAGTTTAAGGCACAAGGGAACAGTAAACAACAGTGTGGTTGATATCAGGATCATACATTTACATTTCCCCTTTCAGAATTCTAAAAGTTACTTGAATGTTTCTTGCTGAAGCATTGCCTTAGAATCTGCCAAAATGTCTTTTAATTCTTCTTCTACCTTCGCAGCTAAGATACCAACATGGACTAGGGACCCCAGACTTGAGACAAACACTTCCTAACCTGAAAAACTTCATGGAGCACGGATTAATGGTCAGGTGGTGAGTATCTTTATCTCTGACATTGGAAACTATAAAATTCAAAATGAACCTGAAAAACTTTCCTGACTTCCACGTTGCTCCACACCTGCCCTCTGGGTTTTCCTCTGCACTTAGGTATTTGAAGAAAAAGAAAGGCAGCCATTCTACCTGGGAAGATCTAAGGTCCAGTCTGACTAAGGAGGGTAAGGAACCCTCTGGGGGAGAGGTGGCCCCAGGGATAGTATGAGGACAGTGCATTGCTGAGGCAGGCCCGGAGGGTAGCCAGTGTGGTTCATGGAAAGGAGACACAGACCCCTAGAACTTTTCTGAAGAGCATGCTAAGAACATGCCTGTCAAGTGAACATCAGAGTCAGTGGCTATGAGACTTAAGGGAGAAAAGTGGTGAGGAGTAAGTCAAGTTGTCAGGAGTGCCACACGCCTGTAATCCCAGGGATTCCGGAGGATGAGGCAAGAGGATCCTGAGTTCAAAGCCAGACTCAGCAACTCAGTGAGACCCTTTCTCTAAATAAAATACTAAATAGGGCTGGAGATGTGGCTCAGTGGTCAAACGCCCCTGAGTTCAATCCCTGGTACCCTGCGCCCCCCCCCCCCCCCCCCAAAAAAAAAAACGTTGTCAGCCCCTAGTCTGAGACCAGAGCACATACTAAAATTGTCTTATGTTTAGTGCCAGTGACTATTGTACCATGAAGGCAAGCCACTCCTTAACCTATTAAATCCCAATTTTCAATTCTGCAAATGTTTCACGGAAATTGACATAGGTACACGAAAATAGGATGGAAGTCATAATCTAAAGCTTATTATATAATTTATTATCTTTAATATTATTGATATGTCATTAATAATATTCATGAATATTATTAATCATTCACCTATTACTTTTCTCAAAAGACTGAACTCCCACAACATGAATATTTGTTTCAAAGTTACCGTAAGTGGAGGCCAGCACATGCCTAAAATCCCAATAACCTGGGAGGCTAAGGCAAGAGGATCACAAGTTCAAAGCCAGCCTCAGCAGGTTTGAGAAGCCCTAAGCAACTTTGTGAGACCCTATCTCAAAATTAAAAATAAAAAGACCTGGAGATGTGGTGCAGTGGTTAAGCACCCCTGGGTTAAATCTCCAGTACCAAAAAAAGAGTTACCATAAGGTTACCATAAGTAGTATATGGTCTATTTGTTGCTCAATTTCAGTTTTTACAGGTATTCCATAAATAGTACGGTGTAACATAATGAGTAACCTGCTTTGTCAAAAAAGACTTGACCCTTTTAAAAAGAGAAAGGAAAAGGTGAAGACTGATACAAAGAAATCATTAGATTGATTTATGTGACTAAAATAAATGGAAAGCTGTAGACTCTAGCTACTTATTCCTGAAGGTCCATCCTTGGGTGATAGACAATAACATACAAAACCATGAGACCGGGAATCAGCCTGTAGAGTTAGACTACTGGAACAGCATGGTCTCCTGTAAAGAGTAATGGCTTCTGATCCCAGGTCTTTTCCTAAATAACCTGCTGTGTGGGTTTGAAGTCCTGCCTCTCTGAACTTGGTTTCCTCATCTGTAGTCCCTGCCCTGCTCATCTCACCAGTGTGTTGTAAGGATGAAGTGAGATATTAGGTGGTAAATATATTGAGGAGGGACAGAGTAGAGGATATAATATTGGTTTCATTTTCTCCCGTGCCATAAAGCTAGGCCTTGAAGATAATGAGAAAGTGACATCTGTGGTTGATCTTTACTTTGACATTTTTGATTTTTGTTCCATATGATCCTCAAAATGACAAGTTCTAGACATCTGGCTTTTGGTAGAACTCCTGTTAAGCAAACACACAGTTCTTTAAATAATTCTACTCAGAATATCAAAATTATTTTCAAAATTTGGTATTAATATGGAATTAGATGCCTAAGGAAGCTAGGAAAGGAATCAAGCTTAAGTGGAAAATAATAATGATAATAATTATAACAAAAGTGAGCTGGCAGACATTTATTTAGCACAATCTCTGTGTAAAGCTCTGTGGTAGGCACTCTGGAGGGAAACCATCATTGCTTAGGTCTACCTTAGTACTGATACAAATTGTCCCTGTATCATTTATTGAATGGTCTGTCTTTCCTCCTCTGGTTGAAATGCCACTTCTCTATATACGAGATTCCTCATATTTCAGACCACGTCTTCTCCATTGTTTCATTTGTTTATCCATGGGCTAGTGCCACATTCTTAATTATTATAAGATGTAGTTTCTGTAAGTCTGGTTGAGATTTGAGGATACTCAATAAATAGCATGCTTTCCCCACCCCCAACATTTGGAACCATTTGAGAGACAGGATATAAGAGACAGGCTAATACAATCAAAATGTCAGTTTTATTACTGATAAAGCTGCTTGGAAATGTGGCTTTAGATCTGTAATAAAAAGGGATTACAAAGACATCACTCGAAATTAAACTTACCCTACCTTCATAATATGAACTGGAGAGCCACAGCTTTTCCGACAGAGGCAGGAGACCCAGGTAGGCCTAAGCAATGACTGTCCAGATTGTGTTTGGCCCTCTAAGTCACCAGAGAAGTGCTCCTCAGAGAGAGAGTGAGAACGAGTGTGGAGAAAACCAGGAGTGCTGTTCCTCAGCCAGGCCCTTCCGGGGAAGGAAAAACCAGCAGGGAGAAGCTCCTAGTTAAGGGGATTCTTCAAAACTCTTGGCTTTTTTTAATTTTAGAATCTTATTTGAGTGATTCAATTATTTTATAATATTCAATCTTTCTGTGAACTAAAATTCTTTTATTTTTCTTTTTTTAAACATACCTCAGTGACATTTTATAATTTTCTTCACGAAATATATAAGTATATATTTGGTCACTAGATACTTAGTCTTAGGTAGTTTACAGTTTAGATTGCTGTCAAATTTTTTTATCACAATATTCAACCTTTTTGTGACTGGTATACAGGTATACAACTGTTTTGTTTGTTTGTTTGTTTGTTTTAATGTGGACAATACAGTCAACGGCCTTACTAACATTAATTACAGTTGTTTATCTTAGAGCATTTTAGATTTTCTCTGTATACGATTATAACTTCACTAGATAATGTTGTTTGTATTTTCACAACTTTTATTACTTTTCCTTGTCTTACAATTTATATGAAATAGGAGCAACTATAGTGGATATTCTTATCTTGTTCCTCATTTTAAAGAGAAAGCTTCTAAATTTCTACCATTAAGGATTATATTTATTGCAGGTCTAAATAGATACCATTCTTCAGAGCAAGGAGGTTTCTTTCTATTCCCAGCTTGCTAGGAGTTGTCTTTAAATCATGAATTTGTGTATTTTGGATTTTACCAAATGCTTGTTCTGAATCTGTTGAGAGAATACTATATTTGTTTCTCCTCTAATGTGTTAACATTAATAGTAATGCATTTTCTAATGATAAACCATCTTCACCTTCTAGTATGAACTATTCTTAGTTATAATATACTACTTTTTCTACATTATTGGATTAGTTTGCTAATTTTTTAGAATGTCTACATCTGTGAAATGAAATGAGTCTGGCCTATAATTTTTTCTTCTTTTAACATCCTTGCCTGATTTGGATGACTAAACATGATGAGATTTTAACAGCTTCATAGAATAAATTGAGAGTCTTTTTCTCTTCAGTGCTCTGAAACAGTTTATAAAAGATAGGAGTTATCTATGTCTTGAAGGTCTGATACAGCAAGCAAAAACCCAGTAGTTTCTGTTTGTTGAGGGAGAGATTGTTGATTGTTAACTATGGATTTAATTTCTGTAATGATTACAGATTTGTTTATGTTCTGTTATGTTTCTGTTCAATTCCTCATTAACTCACTGCAATCTGATTTCCTGTCCTATCAGTAAGCTAAAATTCCTTTTATCCAGCTAGGTGCTTGCTGAACTGTGTTGCCAAACCCAAAGGTCACTTTTTCATTCTTATCCCTTTTGTCATCTCAGTGGCCTTCAGCCTCGTTGTCTTTTAGGCACCTTGTCCTTTCTTGACTTCCCTCTTCTGGCTGCTCTTTCTTTCTTCTGCCCATCCCTGCACCTCTACTTGATCATTAAAGGTTGGGAGTTCTCCCTGGTTCCCTTAGGTTCTCCTCTTTTTCCCTCTCTGCTCTGTTCTCATCTCCATAGTTTTAAAAACCATCTACAATGTGCTTATGACTCCTAAAGTTAAATTCCCAGTGCAAACCTCTCCTGAAAACTGGATAGCCAGAGACCTACCAGACACTGTCCCTTGGAGAATCACAGTCATCAGCCTCAACATGTTTAAAACTATCCTTCTGCCAGTCTTCTTTCTTTCAGCAGATCACACCCCATCTACCCAGTTGCTCCAACTGGAAATCACCCTTGTTTTTTCTTCTTTTCTTTACTCCCACCATATCCAGTCTAATGCATCAGCAAACCCTTAATGTCCACATCAATCTGACCGTTTCCCACCATCTCTACTGTTGCCACCCTCACCTTTTCTTAACCAGACAGCTGTGTGGGTATAACTTATCTTTCTGATTTTACTCTTGTCCCCCTTACTGTCCATTCTCATTAGTAGTCAGCACCATCTTTAAATTCTAGCTATAGCTTGGTTGCTCTGCATCTTCCATGGATATAATAAGTAGAATAAGTTCTTTTATGGCCTACCTGGTCCCTGCCTCATCTGGTATCATTTTCTCCACTCTCGTACCAGTGCTCTCCCAGGCTCCATTTAGATCTGGAGCGAATTCTTTCCTGTCTGAGTCGTTCCACTCACTGTTGTCTTGTCTAGAATTTGCCCTCCCACCCACTCCTCACAAACAGAGAACAACTTTAAGGAAAGCCACCCCAGCTTTATTGGCAAAGAATAAACCCCCAAGACTAGAGTGCACACTCATTTTAGGAATGGGAGAAACTGGGTTTTAAGAAAGCTCATACAATTTGGCAACCCTTTTTAAGAAAAAGAGTACAAAATTACAAGTACAGAATTAGAAAAAAATATGTATTTGTAATGAGAAACAAATCACAACTACTG